GCAACACCTGGAGCAGAGATGGGTTCCTACCGGTTCGGACCGGTTCAGCTGAAACGGTAGTGGTTTGCCGGCCTGGGTCGCTGGAACCGGCAGCAACTCAGGCTTGCCACGCCCCCATTTTCCTATGGAGCCGCTATCTTGATTTTTGGTTCTCCACATGGACAGAACAACTGTAATTGCACAAATTTAATTTTTGTTCTTTTTTTTTAGCCCATGAGCAGACCTATTTTTGTGCAAATGCGCATGCGCATACTGAATTTTTGCATGCACCAAACTGGCAGTAATGCCGGGACCAACCCACTCATGACCTGGAGGAATCTTGGCAGTACATTGGAGAAATGGTTCTGAAAAGTAAAGGCATTACCTTACATTATTATAGAAAATGCTGGCCTATCCAGCCCTTTAGTGGATGGTTCAAAAATCTGTCTTTTCCCCCCATGTCAGTGTTTCTCAACCTTGGCGACTTTAAGTCCTGTGGACTTCAACTCCTAGAATTCCCCAGCCAGCGAGAGCTGGCTGGGGGATTCTGGGAGTTGAAGTCCACAGGACTTCAAGTCGCCAAGGTTGAGAAACACTGCCCCAAGTGCTTCAATGATTTAGAGATAGGGGAAACTTTTTTAAAAATCCTGATCAATGAAAAAGATGGGGGGTGGGGGAGAAGATATTTAATTAACAGTTAATTGGTGGAATGTATTGCCTCCAGGGGTTGTGGGTGCTCCCTCACTGGAAGCCTTTAAGAAGAGACCGAACAGCCATTTGAAATGGTATAGGGCAAGGGTGTCAAAGTCAACTTCATTGAGGGACGCATCAGAGTTGTGTTTGACCTTGGGGGGACAGAGTGGGTGTGGCCAGCTTGAAGTCACTTGTCTAAGGATGACTTGTGGTGCCCTGAGTGCTCTGCTAACGAAAACGAACTCCGGAGCTCTGTTTCCGGCTGGGATGGCCTCCTGCAACCCTCTGCCAGCGAAAATGGAGCTTGGGAGTGCCAGCTGCGGCCCTTGCGAGCTCTGTTTTCAGCTGGGATGGCCTCCTGCACCCTCTGCCAGTGAAAATAGAGCTTGGGAGGGCTGCATGGAGCCCCCTCAAATTTCATTCCGCTGGCAGAGGTGCTGCAAACTGGTCATTCACTGTTTCCAGGGCAGCCTGGTGGGCCAGATCTATACACCACATAGACCAGATCCGGGCCCGGAGCCTTGAGTTTGTCACCCTTGGTATAGGGTCTCCTGCTTGAGCAGAGGGTTGGACTAGAAGACCTCCAAGGCCTCTTCCAACTCTCTTATTCTATTATTTCTGTTGCATTCATTAAAACTTAGTAAAAATTCCTGAAGCTCTTTGAGCCCATCCATTTGTCATGCTAGCCATTCAACTGTCTGCTTCACACTAAGCCATAATGTGACTGCAGGCTACTTCAGCTGACTGCAGTTCTGCAGTTCGGCTGTTCAAATCTCACCGGCTGAAGGTTGACTCAGCCTTCCATCCTTCCGAGGTGGGTGAAATGAGGACCCGGATTGTTGTTGGGGGCGATATGCTGACTCTGTAAACCGCTTAGAGAGGGCTGAAAGCCCTATGAAGCGGTATATAAGTCTAACTGCTATTGCTATTGTTTGATTTTGGGTATTAATCCAGCTACTGTAGCCTCCAAATCAGGTGTTTTGTCATCGGGTCTAAACACACAAAATTGACTTCCGTTGTGACTTCGAAAATATGGCTTGGAGTGATGTGCAAATCCAGGTATAGCTATTGAAGCATTAGTGGGTTCCGACTCACTGAGCATTTTGTCCAATGAAAAGTCTTCCCCTTCCATCAGTATTCCCAATTGGGAAATGTTTGTATCCGTACATTAATTCATCTTCTCAAAAACCTACTTAGTCTAGCATTACGTATGGCTATTTTTTCCCAAGGTATCATTCCTCCAACTGGCCAGATGGGGGCGGTGTCTGCTTTGCTTTAACCAACAAAAGACTGTGTTGTTATTGTTATAAAACCGAAGAGTTTATATACTGCTGATAAGATGGGAGTGGGGTGGGGTGGGGGATACATACCAAGACTCACATTCATTTCTGTCTGACTGAATATTGTCGGCATATTGTATTTCCTGCTTAGTTGCAGCCTGGCACATTTCCTTGGTGTGTGTGTGGGGCGGGGGGGGGGGAGTTACATTCACATAGCTCCCTGAACTGCAGTAATGAATAGTTTCTGGGTGGAGGCCTTACTTTGACTCAGGGAGGGGAAAAAAAGAAGGATGGCAGAGAAAGGTTATGGTGGATGCAAAAGTGTAGCATTATATTTCTTTATAGCAAGAGCAATAGCACTTACATATTGCTTCAAAGTGCTTTGCAGCCCTCTATAAGCAGTTTAAAGAGCCAGCCTATTGCCCATGGTGGGCTTCAAAAATTGCAGCAATGGGTTCGCTGTCCAGTTGCTGGGTGGGCATGGCCAGGGTGGGCGTGGCCTATTCAGCCTCTTGCACCATGGGGGGGGGTGTTTTTCGCCTCCCCATAGCAATAGCAATAGCAGTGAGACTTATATACCGCTTCATAGGGCTTTCAGCCCCCTCTAAGCGGTTTACAGAGTCAGCATATATTGCCCTACAGTCTGGGTCCTCATTTCACCCACTTCGGAAGGATGGAAGGCTGAGTCAACCTTGAGCCGGTGAGATTTGAACAGCCGAACTGCAGATAACAGTCAGCTGAAGTGGCCTGCAGTACTGCACCCTAACCACTGCCCCACCTCGGCTCCAGAGACTTTCCTCGAACCTCCAGGAGGGCAAAAACTGCTTCTCCTGGGCTTCAGAGACCCTCTAAAGGTCAGAAATAGGCCCGTTTCCAGACTTCCGGAACCTCCGGTACGGCCGTATCCAGTGGTGGGATTCAGTCGGCTCATACCTATTCGAGAGAACTGGTTGTTAACTTTCTAAGCAGTTCGGAGAACTGGTTGTGGGAAGAAATCTCCTTTTGTT